ACATATGGGAAGAGTAGGGTAAAAGAAGGAAACTAAGAACTTGAATTTGGTTGATATACTCTCTACACAAAAATGAATATAGAACTCTTAAACCATCTGAAAGTACCGTAAGAAAGGGACTAAGGTAGAATGAAGAAAATTAGAGAAGATAAACCAATTGGGGTTACAATATATGTATAAGTGGAAGTATCACAAGGAAACCTCTTGTGTAGTCACCTGCATCTCAAACAAGCAAAAGAAGTCATGTTTTTCTTCAAAAAAAAAGGCAAGTATCAGGAAAACAATCTCATTTATAATAGCTTCAAAAAATTAAGGACTGGGAATGTGGTTCAAGTGGTAGAGTGCTTTCCTAGTCCTGAGTTTAAGCTGCAGTACTGCCAAAACAAAAGATTTAGAAATTGTAACCTCAAAAAAATTAAATACCTAGGAATAAACCTAACTAAAGAGGTGAAAGAGTTTTACAATGAAAACTATAAAACACTGAAGAAAGAAATCAAAGAATACACCAGAAGGTAGCAAGATCTTCCATGCTTATAGACTGGCAGGATTACTATTGTGAAAATGGATATACTACTGGAAGCAATCTACAGATTCAATGCAATACCCATCAAAATACTGTAACATTTTTCACATAAGTAGAAAAATCAATCCTAAAATTCATACAGAAGCACAAAAGTCCCTAAATAGCCAAAGCAGTCTTGAGCAAAAACAGTAACATTGGAGGCATCACAATACCTGACTTCTAATTATACTACAACATTGTTACAAAAACAGCATGATACTTGCACAAAAACAGACATGTACATCAATGAAATAGGATCTAGAAACAGGCTCACATAGCTACAGCTATCTGATCTTTGACAAAGGCACCAAAAACCTACACTGGAGAAAAGACAGTCTCTTCACCAACGGGGTTAGGAAAATTGGCTATCCATATGTAGAGTACTGAAACTAGATCCCTGTCTCTCACGCTGTACAAAAATCAATTCAAAATGAATCAAAGATCTTAATGCAAGGCCTGAAACTTTGAAACTACTAGGGGAAAATCCTTGACAATATAAACATAAGCAAAGAGCTTCTGAATAGATACCAATGGCCCAGGAAATATGAGCAAGAATTGACAAGTAGAATTGCATCAAGTTAAAAAGCCTCTACAGATCAAAAGAAACAACTATCAGAATGAAGAAACAACCTACAGAATGGGAGAAAATCTTTATTAGCTATTCATCAGATAAAGGATTAGTATCCAGAATATATAAAAAGCTCCAAAAATTAAACAGTAAAACAACAAATAATCCAACTAAGAAATAAGCAAATGAATTCAATAGTTTCCAAAAGTAGAAATGATCAGTAAGTACATCAAGAAATATTAAGCATCTCCTTAATCATGCAAATCAAAACATCGATTCCATTGCAGTCCAGTCACAATGGCTGTCATCAAGAAAATAAACAACATGTAAGAACCTTTGTAAACATCACACTGTACCCCCAGTACAAGAATAAAAGAAAAAAAACAATAAATGCTGGGTGAAAAAGTGTGTGAGGAGGCTTTTACACTGTTGGTGTAACTGCGAATTAGTGTAGCCACATGGAAATTGGTATAGAGGTTTCTCAGAAAAGTAAAAATAGAACTACCATATGATCCTGGGCATATATCTGAAGGAATGTAGGTCAAATACAATAGAGATACCTGCACACTCATGTTTATAGCAGCACTATTCATAATAACCCAAATACAGAATCAGCCTAGGTGCCCATCAGTTGATGAATGGATTTTAACAAACTGTAACATATATACACAACAGAGTATTATTCAGCCATAAAGTTTGAGATTATAGTTTTTTGAAGGAAAAATGGATGTATCTAGAGATCATTATGTTAAGTGAAATAAGCCAGACTGAAAAGACGAACACCACCACATGTTTTTTCTTACATGTGGGATCTGGTCTTTAAAAATTAATGACAAAAGAACAATGCAGGAGGTATCACAATACCTGACTTCAAACTATATTACAAAGCAATAACAATAAAAACAGCATGGTACTGGCACAAAAACAGACATGAAGACCAGTGGAACAGAATAGAGGATCCAGATATGAAGCCACACAACTATAAGCAACTTATCTTTGACAAAGGAGCTAAAAATATACGATGGAGAAATAGCAGCCTCTTCAACAAAAACTGCTGGGAAAACTGGTTAGCAGTCTGCAAAAAACTGAAACTAGATCCATGTATATCACCCTATACCAAGATTAACTCAAAATGGATCAAGGATCTTGATATCAGATCCCAAACTCTTAAGTTGATACAAGAAAGAGTAGGAAATACTCTGGAGTTAGTAGGTAGAGGTAAGAACTTTCTCAATGAAACCCCAGCAGCACAGCAACTAAGAGATAGCATAGATAAATGGGACCTCATAAAACTAAAAAGCTTCTGTTCATCAAAAGAAATGGTCTCTAAACTGAAGAGAACACCCACAGAGTGGGAGAAAATATTTGCCAACTATACATCAGACAAAGGACTGATAACCAGAATATACAGGGAACTTAAAAAACTAAATTCTCCCAAAACTAATGAACCAATAAAGAAATGGGCAAGTGAACTAAACAGAACTTTCTCAAAGAAGAAATTCAAATGGCCAGAAAAACACATGAAAAAATGCTCACCATCTCTAGCAATAAAGGAAATGCAAATTAAAACCACGCTAAGATTCCACCTCACCCCTGTTAGAATAGCCATCATCAGCAACACCACAACAACAGGTGTTGGCGAGGATGCGGGGAAAAAGGAACCCTCTTACACTGTTGGTGGGAATGTAGACTAGTACAACCACTCTGGAAAAAAATTTGGAGGCTACTTAAAAAGCTGGACATCGATCTACCATTTGATCCAGCAATACCACTCTTGGGGATATACCCAAAAGACTGTTACTCCAGAGGCACCTGCACACCATGTTTATTGCGGCACTATTCACAATAGCCAAGTTATGGAAACAGCCAAGATGCCCCAGCACTGACGAATGGATTAAGAAAATGTGGTATCTATACACAATGGAATTTTATGCAGCCATGAAGAAGAACGAAATGTTATCATTCGCTGGTAAATGGATGGAATTGGAGAACATCATTCTGAGTGAGGTTAGCCTGGCCCAAAAGACCAAAAATCGTATGTTCTCCCTCATATGTGGACATTAGATCAAGGGCAAACACAACAAGGGGATTGGACTATGAGCACATGATAAAAGCGAGAGCACACAAGGGAGGGGTGAGGATAGGTAAGACACCTAAAAAACTAGCTAGCATTTGTTGCCCTTAATGCAGAGAAACTAAAGCAGATACCTTAAAGCAACTGAGGCCAATAGGAAAAGGGGACAGGAACTAGAGAAAAGGTTAGATCAAAAAGAATTAACCTAGAAGGTAACACCTACGCACAGGAAATCAATGTGAGTCAATGCCCTGTATAGCTATCCTTATCTCAACCAGCAAAAACCCTTGTTCCTTCCTATTATTGCTTATACTCTCTCTACAACAAAATTAGAATAAGGGCAAAATAGTTTCTGCTGGGTATTGGTGGGGGGGAGAGGAGGGGGGGAGTGGGTGGTAAGGGAGGGGATGGGGGCAGGGGGGAGAAATGAACCAAGCCTTGTATGCACATATGAATAATAAAAGAAAAATAAAAAAAAAATTAATGACAGAAAAAAAAAAATGACAGGAATATAAAACAGGGATTTTTTGGGGTTTATACCAGCTCAAGGGGAGAAGGTGAAAGGAGAAAATGATGAGGGGTGAATATGATTAAAGTACATTATTACACATATGTAAAAATAGAATACTGAAACCTGTTAAAATTATTTTAAAAGGGGGAAAAGGAATGGAAAAAGTGTATTGTGGAAATACCACAATGAAACTCCTTGATACAACTAATACATGCTAATAAAAATTGTGAAAAAAAATAGTCTTCCTTAAATCTTGGCATAAAGATAGTGTGGTGTGTATATAGGACATTATGTTGGAAAAGGATAAAATGATGGCTTCTCTTGTGTGCAGGTGGCCATGAGCACAGAAGGCAGAGATGGTTTGGGGGGCACATCATGCCATCCCGTATCACCAAAAACTGCAGCAGCTTCGTCTGCAACTCAGCTACTCACACCTTGCCCAGTCTATGCTGAGCACTATTCTATTCAAACTTTATTTCTCTCTTCTTTGTTCTCATGCCCCTGCACCCTGACTTATCCCTTTTTACTGTGCTCTGTTAACCCTACAGTAACAATCCCCATACTCTTAGGGGCTGAGTTTCTACAAAAACACACTCTGAAAAATTCTACTTTTTACACTGCTCTATAAAACAACTGGTTTTATTATTTACTTTTTCCTTCAGACAGTATCTAGTTTAACTTTGTATCCCTAGCACTAATAAAGTTTTTGAATAAACAAATGAATAAAAGATCAAATGACAAAGTTACTTCATAATATATTGAATACAAAACATTTTTCTTATTTGTTATACAAATTTTATCTAACTCTAGCAATAATGCATAGTGATGCTGAAACTTTAAATAATAGCAGGTAAACATCTGAGTGCTAATTATGAATCAGGCACCATTTTGAGGAATAAACCCATCGAAGTCTAACAATCATATAAGGCAGGTAACATTAACTCCAATGTAAGTTACTAAAATTAAAAAGAAACAAAGCCAGGCACTAGTGGCTCACATCTATAATCCTAGCTACTCAGGAGTCAGCGATCAAGGAGGATCAAGGTTTGAAGCCAGCCTGGGGAAATAGCTTGAGACTCTATCTCAAAAATACCCAATACAGAAAAGGGTGGGCAGAGCAGCTCAAGTGATAAGAGTACCTGCCTAGCAAGTAAGAAGCCCTGAGTTCAAATTCCAGCACTGCCAAAAAAAAAAAAAAAAAAAGAAACAAAAACTCTTTATTATCTTATCACTCAGTGACAAGTACTATTAGCAGTCATGCATGTCCTTCCAATTTCCATCTTACCAAACTTGATAGTTTTTAGGCTGTTCCTCAATTATTGCAGTGATGTAGTTCATTTCCTCATGTAGATCCTTTTGAAGTGACTTTAAGAGAACCCTCCGAAAATGCCTGCAGCAAACATGAAGCATCAAAGTCTCATTACTGCACTTAAGTTGCCTAGTAATACTATCAAAGCTAAAAGACAACAATACAGTTAGACAACTTTTTAGTAGTTATCCTTATATTACCAATAATTTAGCACTCTAAGAGCTTGTGACTGTCTGAATTCATAAAACCATCTGGTAATAGGAAGAATCACACATCTGAAAGTAAAAAATACTGAAAGACAGCAAATAAGATAGAAGAAAAGCAAATTTTTAAGGTTTAAAGAATGAAAGAGAAATAACTAAAGTATCATTTTTAGGTAATAGTCTTACTGGTGGTATTCTCTAATACAAAAATCAGGCTTCTTTTCCCCTACATATTAGTCTGTGTAGGCATATTATTTGTAATACATTAATTCTATTACAACTATTATCAAAATATTAACACTTTCATGCAGTACTAAGGGTTTCAACTCAGAACCTAGCATTCAATGACAGGCACTGTATCACTTGAGGCACTCTACCAGCCCTTGAAATATTTTTCTTTTAGAACCACCACCAAAATACTACTTAAAAATGAAACAAGTTATTTTTTAATTTCTGGAATTAAAGAAAGTAGATTCAAATCATTATCTTAAGAAAATTCCAACTGGGTGCCAGTGGCTCACACCTGTAATCCTAACTATTTAGGAGTCTGAGACCTGTAGGATTGTGGTTCAAGGCCATCCTCAGCAAATAGTTTAAAGACTCCATCCCCAAAATAACCAGAACATGGCAGGTAGAGTGGGTAATAAAGGAGAATGATTGAGGAGGTAAATTCAACTATGATATATTGTAAGAACTTTTGTAAATGTCATAATGTATCCCCAGCACAACAATAATGAAAAAGAAAAAAAAAAAAAACAGAGCAAAATGGACTGGAGGTGTGGCTCAAGTGATAGAGTAGCTGCTTTGTAAGCATAAAGTCTTTAGTTCAAATCCCAGTCCAACCAAAAAAAAAAAAAAATTTCCAAAAAGACATGGTTAATTCCAGTCTACTTGAACTTCAAAATTTCAGAAATTTCCAATTCAATGAATAGTAAAAGACAAAGAGTTCAAGACCTAAAAGTTATCTTTTACAGTGAAATGCTAAATAAGACAGGTTACAGTATTTTTCTCTTATTATTATTAAAGAAAATTAAGCTGAGTGTGGTGGCTCATGTCTATAATCCAGCTACTCAGGAGGTGGAGATTGGGAGGACTGTGATCCAAGGCTAGCCCAGGTAAAAATACAAGATCCTACCTGAAAAATAACTTAAAGCAAAAAAGGGGTGGGGACATGGGTCAAGTGGTACAGTACTTGCCTAGCAAGCGTGAGGCCCTGAGTTCAAGCCGCAGTACCATCAAAAAAAAAAAAGATGGAATTTCAACAAATGTTTTTGGCACCTCTGTTGAGAATTAGTAGCTGAAGGTTCTGTTCCATAGGTCTATTGGTCTGTTTCTAAGCCAATACCATGCTGTTTTTGTTACTGTAGCTCTGTAGTTTTTTTTTTTTTTCAAAGAAAGCTGACTTGTTAAACAGTGAGATTCCCCTACCACATTTTCCTGCCTGACTCCAGACTGTGGCAGCCAATGTACATTCTCCTCAGGCAATGAATCAGATGGATACTCTTTAGAGAAACACCCCATCCAGTACAAAAGACTTAATAATACTGAGATGAGAATTTCACATATCCAGCCAGGCCCTGGTGGTTCATACCTATAATCCTAGCTACTCAGGAGGCAAAGATTAGGAGGATGGTGATTCAAAACCAGCCTGGGCAAAATAGTTCACCAGAGTAGATCTCGAAAATGCCCAACAAAAAAACGGCTGGCAGAATGGCTCAAGTGGTAGAACACCTGCTTAGCAAAGTGTGAAGCTCTGAGTTCAAACACCAGTACTCCACCCCTCTGCCCCGAAAAAAGAATTTCACATATCTATCCACAAAGTAACTGTAAGTTCTCTGTGAAGCCAGCTGATAAATCCTGCCACTCAAAGGGCTTCCAATTAGGTTTTTTCCTTTCTCTGTTATAGGCATGAAAGGTAAGCCACAACTACAAATCATTTGATAAAAAGAGACAAAAGATATCATACCCATGAAGTCAAAAAACGAGATGCTATTTTAAAAATAACACAGAGGACAAAGAGAAAGCTCTTAGAAATTAAAAATTAGTGCAGAATTTTCAAAAGATCATGAGGGGTTATAAGATAAAATTTAAGAAAGATCTCACATGTAAATAAAGACAAAGAAACATAAATAATAGAAGACAATCCAGGAGGTACAACATTCTAGAAAGAGAGGACAGAAGAAAGAACATACAAAAATCCCTAGAACTTAAAGAGAAAAAGTCAAAACTTGAACAAAGGAATGGGAATCTTCTCCATCTGAAAAACAGAGGTTAAAAGAAACTGGGAAAACAGTTGTAAAATGCTGAAGGAAAATTATTTCTGGTGTAGAAGTCTATTAGTTAAGTTAAAGGGAGACAAAAGACCTTTAAGTATAAAAATAATACTGTCCACATGTCCTTTTGTAAGTTTTCTTCCACACAAGGAGGTGCTCTGTAAAATGAGGAAGTAAATCAAGAAATAGAAAGATATGAGATTCAGGAAACAAAAGCCCTAAGCTATGAAAGAGTTGAAGACCAGATGTGTAACACCTAGATAGGTAAAGAAAGCAAAGGTAGCTGAAAGATTACTTGTCATGTTTAATAGCAATGAAACAGTCTGGAAGATGAACTACTTATTGGTACAAAGAAAACTGAACTAAACAAAAAAGGCAAGCTATTAAAGTAAATTACACTACAACATGGGTCAGCATGAACCATCTACTAATTACTCCTTTGAGATAGAGGGTAAGTATCATTCATAGAAGAAATAATGTTAAATACAATGAAAAAATATTACAAACAATGACAAAGCAGATTATCTGGAATGTATGCACATGTGAATAAATGAATAATAAAAAAATAAATAAAAAAATAAAAGAAAAAAGAAAAACAGCTAAGTGTTGTTACTTCTGAGATAATCAAACTATAGTGACAAAAAGGAACAGGCCAGAGATGATTATTTTTCATTCAATTTCTAACTTTAAAACCCATATGTGAATTGTTATTCTGATAAAAATTTAAATTCTGTAAAAAAGAAAAAAGTCACTCAAACTAAACCATGAGACATGAAAGCAGGAAATAATGATTTGTAATACTTACCACACTGTATAATTGGCTGCATTTAACTCAATAGCATCCCGCGTGAGCTTAAAGGCTCGTTCACTTCTTTCATCACGCTGTAGAACAGCTCGGAAATAATCATAAACATCTCTAACTGGAGACAGAGCATATAACTGATTACGACTACTTTTCTTATTTAAAACTAGCACTTTATTTCCACATTCATCATTTACATCAACAGGCAAAATGGACTCAAATGTCTGAGTGCGACCTTGATAATACTCAATGCCTCAGCCACAAACCACAGGCTACATAGGTCTAAATATGCTTTCTGCCTGTGTGTAACTATATGTGCTTACATCACACTGCAACTCTCCCAAAGACCTCATGTAAAATAAAAGTGTATATAGTCAAATATATTCACGTAGATGGTTCTCTTACATTTTATTCTGACCAAACTTTTAACAGAAAAAAATGTGTAATCTAGAAAATTCAAACAGTACAAAGTGAAGTTCCTATTACTAAATTCCTAGTCCTCATCCTTAGAAGCAACCACTCTTAACTTATTCCAGTGTATCCAAATATATTCTACGCCTATGCGAGTATATAGCCTAATTCCACCTTCATTGTTTTACACAAATGAGATCACACCACACTCAAGATTTGGGACCTTGTTTTTTCCACTCTTGTATTATTAAAGATAACAAAAATATATACGGTAAATTATTTGGTGTTACCTATTCAATATTAAAATTTACATACTCAATGATTCAAGAATTCCAGGTTCAGGGAGTTTTCTTACGAATATACTCTCATGTGTACAAAGAGTTCAAGGATATTCACTAGAACATTTGCTTATGTAAGAAACTAAAGGAGTCTTGGAAGCCTCTGATTTATAACCAAGCAGATCAGAAGTGGATAGCCTGGGGACCCACCACTTTTGACTGGCATCTGAAGCTAGAGAAAGTCTTATAGCACTGCACCCCTGACCTGTGGGCATGTGTGCTTATTCTGGGTAGTTAATATCAAAATTGAATTAAATTGTAGTCGGTGCCCACAGAGAATTGTGAGAATTACTTGGTGTGGAAAACCTGGACATTTGGTATCAAATATTTTCAGTATATGGACAGCTTTCCTTCTTAGACAACAACTCCAAAGTTAAAGTATCACTCAAGAACATGAGCAATTTTAGTTCTTTGCAATTCCAAGACATACAAAGGTTACCTTTTTCTAGACACTGTCTTTGAAAATCACGCAGTCATTAAAAACTAAGCTTCCAAAATAACTTTAAATTTGTAACAAAATAATTAAAACATGTTACATCTGTACAAAATGTTTATATACAACCACAAATCTCTATGTATGCATATATGTATATATGTGTACATATACATCTATGTTTTATACACACACACAAAATATACACATATACACATATACACTGTTAAATAACTAACTGGGGGACCCTTAGGCTGACACACTGTAGCAGCTTGGGTCCTGTGAACACAAACCAAAACCCAATTCATTATAAACAGTAAGATAAAACTAAGCCTATCAATGAGAAATTACTAACTAACCTCTAACAAAACCAACTAAATATAATTTCATATTCATTACATTTTCTTCCATGGTTTTTTATATTAAAATATTCTTTTAATTTAAAAATTATAATTACAAATTAGAAGTAAATTTGTATGTATATGTGTATGTATATCTATATCTACATAGATATATATATAGATAGATATTTATTTATTTATTTATTTATTTTTTGAAACAGGATCTCACTATGTAGCCCAGGCTGGCCTTGAACTGAGATCTTCCTACCTCTTCCTCTTGAGTGCTAGAATTACAAGCATGTGGCACATGCCCAGCTCCCAACATATGCTTTTTTGAAAAATGTTGCTAATTATAACAGCTAATATATGATGTTTACTATGAGCCAGATGGTTTATTATGTATGTAAATAATTCACTACTACTACCCTCATTTACATTCTCCTGTAGGCAAAAAGAGCAGTACAGAGAGGTTAAAGAACTTGTTCACGGATATAGAGCCAGTAAAATGATGAAATCAGAATGCGCATCAGGTGGTGGGGCTCCTGCTCTTAACTTCTGAGAATGTATTACCATAGCCTCTACCAGAGTGAATCCAGAATGATTAGAAGCAGTACGTCCAGATTATAAGAGCATCTTCTAGTTTTAATACTCATACCACTCTGCTTCCAAAATAGCTAGCCATCTGATAACTACCATCTAAAAATATACTGATCTTAAGGAAGTTTTAAATTCTGAGTATCAATCCTGTTTTAGTATCTTCTCCCTTAATGCTAATGCTGCTTGCTTTTTTTAGTGGGGTTTGAACTCAGGGTCTTGCATTTGCTAGGCAAGTGCTCTATACATGTCCAGTCCTTTTTTGCATTAGTTATCTTTCAGATAGGATCTTGTGCTTTTGCCCAGGGCCAGTCTCATACTGTGATCCTCCTACCTCTGCCTCTGCCTCCTGCCTTGCTGGAATTACAGGTATGCACCACCACACCCAGCTCCTGCTTGTTTTTAACTGGTTCATGGTTTCTTCCATTGTGTAAGTTTTGAACACTGATACATTTACTTGTTAATTTTTGGTAGGTCAAACTTATCTGTATTTTCCTTTTATGGTTTCGAACCACAGCATATGCAAGAATTTAAAATGGTAATTTTGTACCCTGCAAAAAAAGGTTAATAGTTTACTCCCAACGGAAATGTATGATTATATTAGTAACCCCAACATTGTTGTTACAGGGTATGAATCTGAAAAGTTTGTGCTTTACATTTTTCTGACCATTCATGAGGTTAACATTTACTTCTTCATAGATATTTCTCTTTCTTGTAGTCAAATGTCTCTTCACATATCTCTCAAAGTATAGAAGCTTTGCACTTTAATATAGTTCTATGTATTCTGATCATTTCTAAATAAATTCTGAGTTCTATATCTAGTGTAATAATGCCTTCTTCCCTCAAAAATGAAATATTATTCTCTTATATTTGCATCTAGTATATTTAGTTATGTTTTAGAATACTAACTCATCTGTAATTTATTTTCATGTCCAGTAAGATATGAGACAGAGCAAGGCCCTGGTGGCTCAACCTTGTAATTCTAGCTACTTGGGAGGCTGAGCTCTGAAGGATCTCAGTTAGAGGCCAGCCCAGGCAAATAGTTCGCAAGATGCCATCTCCAAAATAACTAGAGCAAAATGGACTTGGAGGAATGGCTCAAGTGGTAGAGTACCTTCTTTGTTCAAACCCACCAAAAAAAAAAAAAAAAAAAGATATGAGATAGTGATATCTCTACTTTTATCTAAATGCATAACCAACTTTATCAAACCATTAATCAGTCTTTTTCATAAAAGCATAACTTTCTTTTTATCAAATATTAAGTATGCATATATAATGATGGCTTATTTTTAGTCATTAATCTATTTATTACTAAGTTTAGTACTGCATATTCATATTTAATGAGGCAACCTTCACACCACTATTCTTCCTTTTCAAACATTACTTGCCATTATTTCATAAGCAGCAAATTAATAAAAGCTTTTCATAAAAAAGGAATGACCTTGGATAACAAAGCCTTAACTGTAAGAAAAATATGTGCACATGCACTAACAATTAACATTTGTGTGACCTTCAACTTACAAAGCATTTTCACATTCATCATGAAAAAAAATGATACTCTGCAAAAGAAAATAATCCACTCATTTTAACATCAGTAAATATATTCCAACCAAGCTCCAACCGAGCCTAATAACAATGCTTCAGGCAAGCAAAGTTTATTCAAAAGAAAACAGTAACTCATTTGTTGTATCTTACATGTAGATTAAATAGTATATGAAAAGCACAAGCACTTAGCAGCCATTATATATCATAATGTAAAATTCATTACTTAGAATATTTTCATTTCTGGAACAAAATAAAACATTTAATTAGAAAAATAAATGACAAAACTCCCACAAAATTAACTCATAATAAATTCAGATCCTTATTAGTTAAAAATGTGTCATCTGTCTTACATAGTTGTGAATTTCAACTTTGCTACTAAGTTTGATTTACAGACCTTTTCCTAGTATCAATGCACTTACATTTTTCACTGTAGATGATCTGGACCACTGGACTAGGACCATCATTCTGTGGCACCGGATCTATGTCAGCCCATTCTGGTCTGTCCCTGAAAATATACTTTTTTTTCAGTGATTATATTCAAACACATTAGAAGAAAAAGAACTCTGGTATTTTTTAAAGTGACAAGAATCACATATTAATACTATTAACTTTCTAAGATCTTAATGTAATGATTAGAATTATTTATGACCAAGCTTTGCCACTTTGCTTTAAATTTTACACATTAAGTAAAATTAAGATAAAACAATATTTGGATTTTAAAATGTTCACAGGCCGGGCGCCAGTGGGGCTCATGCCTGTAATCCTAGCTACTCAGGAGGCAGAGATCAGGAGGATGGAGGATCAAAGTCAGCCAGGGCAAAACAGTTCACAAGACTCTATCTCAAAAAAAAATCACAAAAAAGGGCTGGTGGAGTGACTAAAGGTGGAGGCCCTGAGTTCAAACCCTAGTACCACCGCAAAAAAAAAAAAGAAAGTTTTCAAATTTAAAGCTTTGTAAGTGGCAAAACATGTTTTTCAGAAAGTACACAAAACTTTTTCTCTTTTTTTTCTTCTTTTTTTTTTTTTTTTTTTGTAATACTGGGGTTTGAATTCAGGGCCTTGCACTTGCTAGGCACTTGGCCTACCACTTGAGCAAGGTCTCCAGTCCTTTTTGCTTTATTTATTTTTCACCTAGTTTCACACTTTTTGCCCAGGCAGGCCTTGGACTGTGATACTCCAACCTATGCCTCTCTCACAGCTGAGATTATAGGCACACCCCACCATGCCAGGTTAACTTTTTGCCCAGGCTGGTCTCAAACCATGACTGTACTGGTCTCCACCCCCCAACTGGCTAGGATTACAGATGTGGGCCATCATATGCACCTGCAAGTACAGCAATATGACTGACTCTTAGGAGTCAGTCATATTTTTAAAAACCCAAATAGTAATTCATTAGGAACTGACATGTTAAAATCAAAGTAGGGCTGGGGGTGTAGCTCAGTGGTAGAGCACTTGTCTAGAATGTGCCAAGACCCTAGGTTTGATCCCCAGTACTAAATAGATAAAACAAAACAAAAAAATCTAAATTAAATCAAAGTAAACAATGCTTACTGTACACTGGAGAAGTGGTCCAAGTGGTCATTAACACAGCAGACCTTAGTCAAGAATGTAGTCAGTGGTAGAGTGCTCACCCAGCATGCATGAGTAAGCGCAGGATTGAAATCTGACAACTACCTAAGTGGGAATACTTCCTCCATCAATTACTAGCTGTGTGACTCAGTTTCTTCACTTATAAAATGGAGACGATATTACCAATCAGCTTTACAAGGCTATTTTGAGGATTAAATGGGTTGACAGATATTAACTATGTAAAGCACACATAACATACAGTAAGCATTCAAGAATACTACTCATTATCAATGTCAAAATAACGATATAGTGGCAACAATGGGAGCTTACAGAAATTTCCCCGTGAATTGCCCAATGTGACCAAATTTGTTTTAACTGCTCTTTTACTTATGTTCTTTTCCTTTCACCCACTCTTCACTTCTCTACGCTGATCAGCTGTTGACAACAGAGACTGGTGGCATGTGGATAGTTTTGAAATCACATCCGTTATGCAAGAAGAAATACAAGGGAAGCAATGACCTGATCTGAGAAACGTAACTCCTGCGGAGGTGGCCTGGGGAAAACTTATTTAGTCTATGGGAAATCAGACACAGTCACGCGAAGAACGTACTTCACAATCCAAAGAGGATTTAAATTTAAGTCAGTAAAACATTAACACCAACAAGAAAACTCTGGAGACTTTCATTCATTCATAAAATCTGGGCAAATAAGCCATCTAATGGGCTTAGGAAGAACTACGGAAAACACATAGGACTTTTTGATTGTTTCTGCAGGTTCCTAAGGCCCTGTCCCCAGGTGAGGACCAGAAGACTGGAGGGGAGGAGCCGGCATCAGCGGGCGTCCTGGGCGGCACCGGGCCCCTACGAGGGCGCCGCGCACACCTCCTCCAGGCTGACCACCAACTCCGCCACCCGTGGATTAAAGACAGCGTATCAGTCCGCAGAGACCCTTCACCGCACCCCAGTTCTCTCCGTTCAGCACAAGCCACAGAAGGAGGGCGCCAGCGCGACACTTCTGTAAACAATGGTTTCTCTGCATGCCTTCAAACGCGCCCTTCGCCTTTCCGTACCGTACCGCGCGGTTACTATCGAGGGCGTTCTGGGACCACGGGACAGGGCGGGAACTTTCTCCACGCACGGATCAGCATATACAGCGGCCCAGTCCCAGCTGCGACTCCCCTTCCCCCTCAACCCCGCTCCGCTCGGACAGCCAGCCCAGGCCGCTGCCACTGCTCCGGCCTTGGGGGCGTTACCTGTACAGGACGTAAGTGGGAGAGTCCAGGCTCAGAAACCCGTCGTCCATAGGGGATCCCACTGCTTCTCCTGCCTCAGCCGCCATCTCTTCCTGCTGCGGCTGGAGTGGGGGTGGATGCGGCTGGGGCGGCGGCTGCTCCGGCTGACCGGACTCCCCGCCTGTCGTAGCCTCCCCGACCCCCTCGGTGGCCGCCATCTCGCCTCAGTCCCCGGCGGAGGTGGGCAGAGGCCCCGCCCCCTCGCGGCCGCGCCCCTTTCCCCTCCCCCGCAGCGGGCTACTTCCGGTTCTCTGTGCCTTACCATAGAGAGCAGTCCAGAGGCGCGGGCCAGAGGGCCCACGAGCGACCAGAGCGGGAGTGTCGGGTGGAGGAGATAGAGGGGAGCGGGGCGAAGGCGGGTGAGGCTGCGCTGCTGGCCGGGGCTTCAGGTTTCCCTTGCTTCTTCCATCTGCCGGCCTTCAAAAAAGCTTGTAGGTGTCACTTAACAATCTCTTCGTGTTACCGGGCGGCTCCCGTCTGTAAATCCTGTCTACTTGGGGTGCTAAGATCAGGAGGATTGAAGTTTGAAGCCAGCAAACAGTTCTGGAGACCCCATCTCCAAAATGATCAGGGCAAAATACACTGGAGGAGGGCTATGGGTTAGGCGTAGTGCCTGCCTAACATGCCCAAGGATGAGTTCAAACCTACTACTGCCAAACAAAAACGAAAAAATGGACTCAAGCAGTAGAGTGCTTGCTTTGCATGTGTGAAGCCTTGAGCTCACACCTCAGCCCACCAGAAAAAAAGAAAGAAAAAGATCGCTTTGTACTGTTTGCTGCCCCTTGTTTTTTTTGGAGGGGGGTGGTGGTGGTGGTGGTGGTATTTTTGTGGTGCTGGGGATGGAGCACAGGGACTTGCACATGCCAGGCAAGCAATGTCCCCAGCCTCCAGTTGCCTCCTTTTTGGAGGCAAACTTAGAAGCAGTGTTAAGGACACCTGGCCGATGGGACAGACATAGCCCATCCCCTTCCCAGGCAACTGGCGATCTGGGCTCTACTTTAATCTTGGAAAGGCCTTTATGTTCTTTCACGCTTTTTAAGTATTTCAGTGCTAAGACTTATAAAGTGGAATTTAATTAATCAAGAGGTTTTTTTGTTTTTGTTTTTGGCGGCACTGGGGTTTGACCTCAGGGCCTCACGCTTGCTAGGCAAGCACTCTTACCACTTGAGCCACTCTGCCAGCCCTTTTTTTTTTTTTTTTTCTTTTTTATGATGGGTTTTTTCCAGACAGGGTCTGGCCTACTATTTTTTCTGGGCTGGCTTGGAACCGTGATCCTCCTGATCTCTACCTCCTGAGGAGCTAGGATTACAGACATAAGCCACCTGCGCCTGGCAGGTTTTGTCTTTTGAAATTAAATTTAAGATCATACAATATGTGTGTTATACGAAAAGGAAACATTTTCCTATACTTTATAGCAAATGGACACCTTCATTTAACAGATATTTGCTGACCACCTATTATGTACTAAGCTCCCTGGCAGCAGTACAGAAACCAAAGTATGCAGTCATGGAGTTTATATTTTAACAACAGAGATTATGATAGATAATATCTACATCTTCAATTAAAGATAAAGCAGGTTGAGAGGATACAAATGATTGTGTTCCTAAGGCAGGACAGATAGATAAGGAGTCAGGGAAATTACATTTTTTAAAAATAAATATTGAAAGGATCAGAGTCAAACATTGGAAGCAGGAAGTAAAAATTGAGATGCCAGAGCTGTTAGCTCTCCCCTCCACTTCCTTTTAGAGATTAAGTTACAAGGATAGGGAGACATAAAGGGACTATCTACATCTGCCTTTCCCTTTGAGATGTGATGCTACAAGGCTCTGTGAAGGGGTAGAGGGAAGAGAAAATGAAATATAAGAGGTGCTTAAACTACTTTTGCAGAAGAGCACTGATTCCTTACTTGGGCCGACAAATTAAAAACAGGAGAAGTGTAGCATCCCTGCCTCCATTATGTATCTGTCTTTGCTCTCAGCCATTCTCTTTGCAGTTACTTTGCTGATCGCAAATCACCTTGAATTTCAGAAAGGACAGAACTAATAACATCATATGTCAAGGGACAGAAACTTCCCATTAGGAACAGCAGAAAATTGCAGCATACATTACCCCTCCAAATGAGGGCAATTATCTATAATGATGAGGCTGTACCCTAGAGGAGTAATCATCTCATGGGAACTAGATTGCTCCTCTCAAGTGATGACAGTGATAGCAACATCTCCAGAACCCCTCTTGGAATCCTTGAACTAAGATCAACCAGAACACACTTGTGACTGGGACTGTTTATGCATACCTTTGCCTCCTACCCCCAGTTCTGTCCACTTAAACCTGTAACTCATGTTGTACCCCGAAGATGGCTGAAGATGAGCTGAGAGCTTACTCTGCCTCTTCCCATGGCATGTCCTGAGCTGTGTAATAAACCTCCTTTCTCTGCCTTCACCATGCCTCTTTATTTGGCATTTAGAGGCAGGTGGCCAGACCTGGCGTATGGAATTTACCATTTTACCCATTTTTAGGTGTGTAGTTTAGTGACATTGCTACTTTCACACTGTTGTGAACCATTACCGTTATTATGTGCTGGTTTGAAGTGTTGCTGGCCAGTGTTGAGGGTCCTTGTCTTTGCAGGTCAGAGAACTGGCTTGTGAGGCAGCTGATTGATGAGCCAAAGCCAGTATATGAAGTAGGATTTATTAGAGAGAGAAGAAAGGCTACAGCTAGAGCAGTGCAGCAGAGCCCGGAAACCGGTAGCTCGCTGCTCAGGTGAAGGTTGGGCTTTTATGGACGTTTTAACTCTGGATTTGGGTAAGGGTTAGGTGGGCTCTTTTCATTGGTCATGGATTTGTGTGCTTTCTTAGGTGAACTGGTTTGTTTTGCCCCTTATTGGGGGAGGGGAAACAATCTTGAGAGCATTTTGCTCATCAGCCCTGTGGCAGATCTATGAGCCCCTATATCTCCTCTTCAGGGTTCAGGAATGCAGTCTTCAGCTTCTTCTCAGGATGCAGGAATCATAGTGCTCTCCAGGGGGAGGATGGGATACTCACTCATCTGCCTTAGGTCTCCAAACCCAACACCATCATCTCCAGAACATTTTCATTTTCCCAAACTGAAACCTGTGAAGCAGGCTACAAGTAGAAAAAGTCTGGGGCTCATACAGGTGCCTGGGGGTGGGCCAGACCACCCTCACCTGGCTGGGAACCGGGCATGATCCTTCCCACTCATTCATTATTGGGTGGGAACCTCCTGGGCCTGCCCTGCCATGGGGGTAGTGTAGGTTTTAAAGGCACCTGAAAAAGAAAAGCACTCACTCTCTACTGGTGGATACCACTTGCGCCCACCATATCCTCTGTTTTTCTTCTCTTTCCTCACTGGGCAAAACAGGTGACTCCCCTTTTCTCAATTAAGCTATCTTACCTGAACCCATCCATGCGCTCTCCTTGAATTTTTTTCATTTGGAGCACAAAGACCAGGATCTTCTGATCACAGACTGAGTTAACACTTGCACACATTAAACAATAGCTCCCTTTCCCTCTTTCCTCCTCCTAGGCCCTGGTAACCAACATTCTACTTTCTGTCTCTGAATTGATGGTTTTGGTAACTCATACAAGTAGAATTTTAAGAGATGCTTAAGCTGTTTTTGCTGAAAAGCACTGACTCCTTACTTAGGCCCATGAATTAACTAAACACAGGAGAAAAGCTTGGCATCTCTGCCTTCATTTTGTATTTGTCTTTGCTCTAATTCATTCTTTCTGTACTTATTAAAAAATTCATTTATTCATATGTGCATACATTATTTGGGCCATTTCTCCCCCTTACCCCTCGACCCCTCTACTTACCTCCCGACTGACTGCTTCCAGGCAGAACATGTTCTGCCTTTTCTCCAATTTTATTCAAGACAAGACATCGGCAATAATAAGAAAGACAAGGCATTTTTGCTAGTTGAGATAAGGATAGCTATACAGAGAGATTCCTAGCATTGCTTCCATGCACAAGTGTGTTACAACCCAAATTGATTCATCTCTACCTGACCTTTTCACTAGTACCTGATCACCTTCCCATATTGACCTCTGTAGCTTTAAGGTTTCTATATTACCTCCTCTGCAGTGGGGACATCAAACACTTTCATATTTTGGATTTTCTACCTATCCCCATACCTCCAGTATGTGTTCTCCACTTAGCATGTGACCCAAGTCAAACAACATTGCTGTATTTGCCCTAGATCTAAAGTCCACATAATGAGGGAGAACATATGATTTTTGGTCTTCTGAGACTGGCTAACATCGCTCAGAATGGTTCTCCAGTTCCATCCATTTACACGAGAATGATAAGATTTCGGTTTTTTTCGTGGCTGAGTAAAATTCCATTGTGTATAAATCCCACATCTCCTCAATCCATTCATCAGTAGTGGGGCATCTTGGCTCTTTCCATAACTTGGCTATTGTGAATAGTGCTGCAATAAATATGGTTGTGCAGGTGCCTCTGGAGTAACCTGAATTGCATTCCTTTGGGTATATCCCCAGGAGTGGGATTACTGGATCATATGGCAGATCTATGTTTAGATTTTTAAGAAGCCTTGAACTAGCTTGCATTTCCACCAGCAGTATACTAGGGTTCTTTTCCCCAGCATCCTCACCAACAACTGTTGTTGGTGTTGCTAATAATGGCTATTCTAACAGGGGTGAGATGGAATCTTAGTGTGGTTTTGATTTGCATTTCCTTTATGGCTAGACATGGTGAGCATTTTTTCACGTGTTTTTTTGCCATTTGAATTTCTTCTTTTGAGAAAGTTCTCTTTAGTTCAGTTGCCCATTTCTTAATTGGTTCATTGATTTTGGGGAGAGTTTAGTTTTTTAACTAAACTCTGTGGGTGGTCTCTTCAGTTAGAGACCATTTCTTTTGTTGTGCAGAAGCTTTTTAATTTTATGTAGTCCCATTTGTCCATACTACTTTCTCTTAGTTGCTGAGCTTCTGTTTTTCTATTGAGGAAGTACTTGCTTATACCTATTACTTCCAGAGTGTTTTCTGCCCTTTCCTGTACCAGCTTCAGATTGTTGGGTCTGATATTAAGGTCCTTGATCCATTTTGAGTTGATACTAGTACAGGGTGATAAACATGGACCTAGTTTCAGTTTTTTGAGACTGATAACCACTTTTACCAACAACATTTGTTGAAGAGGCTGTCTTTTTTGCACCTTTGTCAAAAA